GAGAGGGAGAGGGAGAGGGAGAGGGAGAGGGAGAGGGAGAGGGAGGTGCATTTTCAGTTAAAAAAATAAACTATGCATAAAGAAGGGGATGTTACATAAGTTAAAATATTAATATGGCTTGAGTAAAACACAGCACATTAAAGTGTAAAACCATGCACCATGAATATATATTATTATCTGGAATGTAATTTTCTGTTTCATAATGCTACTGTGGTGTTTACATTGCCTTTTGACCAGAGCGTACAAAGAATATAATTTAACATCGATATGCCCTCTCCATCTAATTGTCAGACAGATTTATCACCATATTGCCTTCTCACATAAGTGACCTTGATTTACGAACACTACAGAGAAAGATCCATTTCTGACTGTTTTATAGAAGTGTATTTAGCCAAGACTTCTAAACATTTTACCCTGGAATATAAAGTTTCAGCTGTGTAGAATGGGGTCTTTTTGAACCTTGGAATTAATTCCTTCTTGTGCTGTTTTTTAATCGGATTACTAGAGTCTCTTCAATGCATGTATTATTAAAATATACCACAACAGCCTCATAAAGTAAAATGCATATTTGGCAAATGTTACTCTTTTTCTTTCCTGATCTCTTTGCCAAGACTTCCATACGTATTATTTAAAGCTGAAAGATTTACTGGGGAGCACCAGTGCTGTAACACCAAGAATTGTAATAAGCAGATGTTTCAGATGAACTGAGAGCCAGCTTCTGAAATTTGCTTTCGTTAAAAATAAGGCTTTGGGTTTCTTGAGGCATAATGAATAAAATATTTTGAGAGACCGATCTCTTTGTTGGCATAACCCTGCTGCTATTTGCCATCATCAATTATTTAAAAGAAGAGAGCTACTTTGGTGTTCTACAGGTTTTCTGTTGAGTTTTCTGGCTAGCAACTGGAAAGTATTTAATGATACATGTAAACGCAGGGCTTGGTAGCTTGGGATTTTGTTTGTTTTGAAGAAGCAAAGAGGGAAACAATTTCTCTAGGATTTTTTCTATATATATATTTAGGAAACTTGAGCTACATTTGCTACAAGGCAGCATGATCAATAGAGTGTGACCAGAGAGGCCTGTTTCTTCATCCTACATCTGTTGCTAAGAAGCTATGTGACCCTGGGTCAGCCCACTGACCTTTCTGTATCTTAATTTCTAGATCTCCAAAACAGGTACAATAATACCTACTGGTGAGGATTAGCTGAGATTTTTATAGCACTTTGCAGGTGCAAAGCATTGTGTGGGGGCTGAAAATTAGCACTATGATTCCTCTGAAACACCCATAATCATCTTCTCCAGGAAAGACAAGTGAGGATTGAGAACCTCTACTCCAATAGAGCTCATATCTGTCTTGGCTGCACGCTCCCTGTTCTCCACGCGCTGACTATGAGCCTTCATCACTTTCAGGTAGTTCTGTACAAGCGTAGCAAGCGCTCAGCAAGCAAGGATTTGCTTTAGGCTTATTGAAGACCAGTATTAATGAAAACTCATGATATTACATTACTTTTTTTTAATAAGTGGGCTTATGATAAAGGATTTGCTCTGGGTGTGATGCTTTTTTTCAATATCGATGTATATGCATTGCTTTTCAGATTAAGCTTTGAAACTTGGATCCTGTCATTTATTCCACGGGATGCAGTGGTAGCTGTATTAAATATTCATGGCTAGTGAATGCTGGGAGATAAAGTCAGAGGTGAAAGGGCAACATACAATTCAAAGGAGTCCTTAGGCTATGCTAATTTGCTTGATCTCATTTTTAAAAGTCAGACTTCTGACAGTCACAGCAGGCCATCCTGTGCAGCACTCTCCTGCTGGGGGTGGAACTCGATCATTATTACTCACCGATAAAGCAGCCTGCAGAGCTCCACAGCTCACAAAGCGGAGCACCACAATAGCACTCAACGCACGGTGTCATACCAGACCTCTCCTAGGATCAGGGAAAACTGGGACTAAAAAAATGCTGAGGGAGGCACCTCATCCACCCCTCTGGACAAATGTAGGATCAGCTACTGTACTAGCCAGAGACAAAATTACATTTTAAATGCAATATCCATAGTAGACCCACAGCATTCTGAGGCAAGGATGGAGCAGGTGGAAATGTACAAGAAGATGGACGGAAGGCCAAGTTCTCCCTGTCCTGTATGCATCTTTCAGGTCCTATGTGACAGACAAGGAAAAACATTGTCATCTGGTGACTGCTACCACCAGTTACATTTAACCATTGCTGTTCTCTCTTTAAGACAGCTACTAGATATGTTTCAGCTTCTCTACAAGAGTAACGAACTGAAACAACAGCAAACTCTGCCCAAACCACAGACATATGCTCTCTCTTAAAGGAAAGATGGCAGGTTTCAGTAAGGTACAGTTTTCTGAATGTTCCTTTGGCAGTGGTGAAGATACAGAGAAAAACAAATCTAAGGGAGATGGCAACAAGGAAACTCATGTCCACAAACAGTGCTAACATGGCCTCAAGCTGAGAGGAAGAACTTTTAGGTCGCGCGTCAATCAAAGCAAGTGTGTGATTTAAGTGGAAAAAAATTATTTGCCACTAATTCCTGCCACGCTCAAGGAAATGTGACTTTGTAAGTAATGTCTTTGTTAAATGAGTACATGGCTTCGTCATCAGTTTCTTTTACAGCTAAAATCAATCTACAACAGCCTGAGCAGAGTGCTGTGGGCCAACACTCACAAAACCTCCTAGGTGCGCTGGGACGCTGTGCCTTCAGAACGTGACTGTACAGAGGACTGAGTCGATAATTCTTGAACTCTAATTCTATATCTTGCAGGCACTAATCCAAACCCCACTAAGGCAATGGCAAGACTACTGAAGGCATGGACAGCTTTTAACCAGGACTAGGTTTGCTTTCTCTGTCCTCCCAAGTAAATTGCTTCTGTTTCCCTATGTGTCAAATTGAGAATGAAATGCTTTTGAACATCACATGAGCACTGAGAGGATGCACTAGTCCCATTTGTAAAGCATTAAGGAAAAGAAAATATTCCTCTAAATACTAAAACCTATTACTATATATTGCAGTGATGGAAAATTCAGCTGGATTTCTGAGCAATTAAGATCTTGTTCAGATCCCTGAAGACATCGGTGGTGCTTGCATCTACAGAGAAGCTGATGCATGCCACCAGCATATTGCTGACAAACCTTGAAGAGAGCCTATAGATGGGACATCCAAAGGAAATACTGGTCTGGACCCTGAGGTGCAGAGAAAAAGGAATGGACAAAGTCTCTGGAAAGGAAAGTCAATAAATTTGCCACATCTGTGACAGGATCCAGAAAAATCCCAAGTTTAACTGTATTAATGCTACCGAGTAGTGTAATAATAGAAGTCGGATATATAGCTCTTGTCTAAGGACAGGAGACGATCATCCATCAGCACCACCACTGCAGTCTGCTCCACGTCCTGGCATACTGCCTATTTGGAGCAAGACCAAGACATCAGAGTTAGAGCTGGAGACAACTACGGTTGAACTTACTGGTAAGTTTTTTGGTCTTCAGAATCAAAGATATGATAGAGTTATGCAGGATTACAAAAAATGGGAATCAACCCTGCCCATGTACATTTTTTAACAGATCCATTTGGATATATAATTATGAAGATATAGTAGACATGAATACAATACATTAAACTCAGACAGTTACATTAAATTTATATACTACACATCTGAGGAGTCAAACAAGTAATATTTCATGCTTTCAATGATCATACCATTATTTTAAAAGGGATTTATACATATATTTATGCAGCTAGGTAAGGGTTTATGATCTCTTGGAATTGTGTGACTAGCCTGATCTTCTATAACAAGGTGACCCACTTAGTGAATGAGGGAAAGGCTGTGGACGTTGTTTACCTAGAATTTAGAAATGTCTCTGACAACCTTCTTCCACAGCATTCTCCTGCAGAAATTGGTTGCTCATGGCTTAGACAGGCCTATTCTTTGCTGACTGGAAAATTGGCTGGGTGATTGCGTCCAAAGAGTAGCGGTGAATGGAGTTAAATCCAGTTGGTGGCTGGTCACAACTGGTGTTCCCCAGGCCTCAGTATTGGGGCCAGCTTCATTTAATAACTTTATCAATGATACGGACGAGGGGATCAAGTACACCCTTGGTAAGGTTGTGGGAGACACCAAGTTGGGTGGCAGTGTTCATCTGCTTGAGGATTAAGGCTCTACAGAGGGATCTGGACAGGATGGATTGATGGGCCGAGGCCAATTGCATGAGGTTCAACAAGGTTAAGTAACAACCCCATGCAATGCTACAGGCTTGGGGAGGAGTGGCTGGAAACCAGCCTGGCTGAAAAGACCGTGGGAGTGTTGCTCAATAGCCAGCTGAATATGAGCCAGCAGTGTGTCCAGGTGGTCAATGTGGCCAATAGTGTCCTGACTTGTATCAGAAATAGTGTGGCCAGGTGGACTAGGGAAGTGATCATCCCCCTGTACTCAGCATTGGTGAAGCTGCACCTTGAATACTGTATCCAGTTTTGGCTTCCTCACTACAAGAAAGGTACTGAGGTGCTGGAGCATATCCAAAGAAGGGCAAGGAAGCTGGTAAAGGGTCTGGAGCACAAATCTTATGAGGAGCAGCTGAGGGAACTGGGGTTGTTTAGACTGGAGAAAAGGTTGCTCAGGGGAGACCCTCTCACTCTCTACAACTCCCTGAAAGGAGGGTGTAGCGAG